GTTTTTTTTTTTTTATTTTTTTTTTTTTTTGGGGAGAACCCAAAAAGGGGGGCGGGGAAAACCTTTTGGGGGGGGGGGGAAAACCCTCTTTCCGCCCAGGGGGGAGGTTCCCCCCCCGTTGTGTTAAGAGGGTAAAGCTCCCTGGGGGTTTTACCCAGGGGTTAAAACTGTTTCGGGAAGGGAAAACCCCCCAAAAAAAATTAAATTCATACGCGGTTTTCTTTTGTAGCCAGGAAAGAAACCCAAACCCGAACCCCTTTACCGGGAGGCGGCCCCCCCTTCTGGGGATTGGTGGAGTCCCCCCGGGCGTTTCGCCTTGGGGAATGGAACCCCCGGTCCCGGGGAAACCCCGGGGGGCCCCGCCCCGGTTTTGTGGGGATGGGGGGCAAAGGTTTAAAGGATTCGGCCATCCCGGATTAGGGGTCCCCCCCCCCCCCCCCCACGCCGGCGCGCGCACACACCTGGACGTCGTACTGGTTGATCTCCGGCGGTAGGTCCACCTCCGGCTTGTTCACCCGAAGGAACGACGTCTCCCCCGCAGTCTTCATGAGCTCGCGGGCCTCGTCCGAGTTGATGACGTCATACGGGGGAGCGGACAGGGCGGCGGCCATTTCCGGAGGCGGGCGCAGGCCGCGGAAGGGCTTGACTCGGACCATGCTGCTGCTTCCGGACGGTGGCGGAAATACTCGACGACCTTGGGCGGGTGCGATCTGGGAGGGGCGTGGATCGGACGGAACGAACGAACGATCGCCCAGCAACGGCAAACGGGAGAGAGAGAGCCAAAGTCTTGCGTTAAAGAGTTCATGCTGTAACCTCCAACTGGTTCGAGATTGTCTACCCGGGGGTTCGTGAACCGGGTGTTGACAGAGGCGAAGCCCAAGCGATCATCCCTGGTCGCTCTCCTTGACGACCGCATCGAAAGTACTTATCCGGCAGACCGATAGCGTAGCGGTAGTGTAGGAAGATGCGAACACTCTACTGCAGTACGCCGCCGGGAGCCCCCGGTGAAAATAAAATGCTGCTGTAGAGTGGATGTACCTTTTCGCCGACAGAAAATTACGATCGTGCGTCGCCCGGCTGCTTGTATGCCGCGGACTTTGGATCCTTCGTTTCTTCTGAAACAAAGTAGGGGTACATGTCTGCTTTTGTAGCTGTCTGCTGCTGCCTTATCTCTTGAAGGGCGGGAGAGAGAGGGACTGGTTTTCTCGTGCAAGGTGAAGCCGTTGGCGGTGTCGCTGAGGCTGCAAGCTGGTACAATTTCTGAACCGTCAGCGAGCGATTCCCCAGCACTATACACTATCATAGCTTATCTCTATTTTTTTTTTTAAATTAGACACACCCAAAAAACAACATCAAATAAAGGAGCAATGAATAGGGTTGCTGAGTGGTGGTGGAGACGAATACTGCTGTGTCGCTGGACGCGAAAAAAGACAACAGAGCTCCTTACGCATGAAACATACACATCCGTACTGAAAACATGTCCGGACAATCGCGGCGACGCCTCACATCTGCAGAACGAGCCCGCGATCAAGACACCGCTGAACACTCCATTAAGGCCTGGTCTTAAATCGGTTCTGCACTCAGGTTCACACCCAGACCAAGACTTGGAGCGGAAAGATTGGTCGGCACAATAACGAATAGCCGTGGTTGAGGTGTTGAAGTTGTATGGAGGTGGGTAGATGGGGCTACGGTCAGTGAGCACCTTGAGAGCCGCGCCGGCCGGGAACAGCCTATGGCGCCAACTCGGTGGGGTGCAAAGCCACAGAAAACGGGAGCACACGCTGGCACTGGTGGCAACTTGCTGCTGCTGCTGCTGCTACTTGTCGCGCTGCTGTTGGTCAGCATGCGAGGAGGGCATCATCTTGTGCTCAAGGGTCGATTGCGGAGCATGCGTGGTGTGCGAGTGTGAGGACCCCCCCTCGTCCAGTGTTGAAACGTGGCACGAGGGTGTGACATCAGTCGTGCAAACTTCGTCATCTTACCTCCAGTAGACTGTTTTTTGGTTGCTCATGGGAACTCTGGGTTGCGGTTCGCCCGACTCTTTTGATTGGATTGTTCTGTATGTATTCGAAATGTTAGTCCGGGTGTTGCGACCCAGAGTTAATCTTGCTGGAACTTCAGGTGAAAAAAACAAAAAATCGTGGTCTCCCCATCATTTGACCGAATCAAACAGGGACTTCTGTGGATCTTTCCGCTTTAACTCTTGGTCTGGTTGTGAAGTCTGGGTGCACAATTTCGGAAAGGACCAGCCCCAAGAAACGGAGGCTCAACTGGTCAGAATACCAAGAACAAGGGGATAATAAACAATCGGCAGTGGATCCTGCACTATGCTCTGTATCTAACCTGTGCTCGAAGCTGGCGACGCGACAAGATATGCACACGACTTCGATGGGACGCTTCATGGCGGGTTTGCATGTGTCACGTCCACGTGTCTTTCGAAGCTTGGATTTCATGCGTGATGGGACAATTTCCCAACAACCGCCGACCACGCATATTTTATTTATTTCTTTTCTTTTTTTTTCAGGTTGAAGGTTCCTGACATGACACGATTGGGTCATCACCTGATGCGGACGTGGCCTTCATTGTTCTACGGTAGCCTAAAAGATGCTGCAGGTTGGGGATAATAGTTTGGGATGCCGTAACTAGCAAACGACATGGCTCTCACGCCCAAAGTTATATTGTATGAGTCTTACCACTTGCGGGGAAACGAAATGCTGACGACGGCACCTTGGAACAGGCGCAGCTATGCATATGTAGCCGAGGGTTTGGAGGGTTTGCGGCGTGCAACGCCTTCCTCACCCAGACGGAATGCCCGTACTAAGGGTCGTTCCCAACGATGACAATTTCAAGGCAAAACAACCGTTTCCGGTTTTTCGTGCAAATACATGGAGGCCATCATCTCCCGATCCGTGAAAAGACCGAGCAGTTGTTTTATGGCCCTTGCTCCTTTCACCGATGCGGTTATTTGACAGAAGGATCCGGCAGGCGCACCGCGGGCGCTGTAACATCACTGAGAACGGTAGCAAGACCTGCCAGACTCACGTCCAGGTCTATTGCGGAGACAGACAAGCGGCAGAGGCCGTGTTCAGTCCATCACGATTGAACAAGCGGAAAAGTGCCGGTTTTCTCTTCACCGTTCCGTGTTTTCTTTTCAAGTTCGTTCGGGGTTCTGTGCGGTCCGTTTGGAACGGCCCTAGAGTTGAACTACCGCATGTACTGCTCTCATCAGCGGCCGGCACTTTCGTATTTTCGCATGTGTGAGGATGCATTTTCTGATGTCAGCGACGCCAACAATTCGAAGAGAAAAACGCCTCGAGTGTGATTAATCTCTTGGTATCCAGTACTTTCTCACGCACTATTTCAACACCTTCGCAAGCACGTCTTGAGGACGAGGATGTCTACGACCGGCAGAGCTCCGGGGCTACTTGCCAGTAGACTATACCTAGACCTGCAAACGGTTGTGTATTCTATGCATACATGCATGGAGGTACACCGCAGCAAGTGGGGGATCGAGATAAACCTCTTCTATCTCGTGCGGTTCTGCTGCAACCAAGAGCACGACGACCTTTTGCCTCAGACTCACGTCCATTTTCCCGCGACATGAGATAAAGGAGGTGCACACACCGGCTGGCTAGCTTTCTCCTCTCAGAAACTGAGACGTGGAACGGAGGGTGATCATGCTAGAGACAGAACAGCAGCACCAGGTGGCGGGTGCGGCGCCGACAAACATTCTTATCCCCCTCTGCTGGAAAACTGGTGGCTATTTTAGACACGGAGGCACAAAGGTAAACCAAGCTCTCACACTATACGCAAAAGGCAGGGCAGAACGGAGGGGGCGAGAGAAACCTATTGGTCGACGCAAGCACTAGAACCCTCAGTGCCATCTTTGGTTGTCATGTTGCACCTCGCCATGGCGATGTTTCACACAATACCAGTAGAGAGCTGTGGGCAGACTCTCGGTGGGGCCTGGTCCTCTGCACCCAAGGAGAACTCACTGCACAACCTTAGCTTACTAACCTCAGGCGTGACACTCTTGCCATCCTCACCTGGGTCTCGACTACAAGCCCGTGGGAAGAACGAGAGAGACAGAGAAGGTGTGGGCGTTGAGAGAGAGGGAGAGGGTGTGGTTGTTGCCAGCTACCGAGACAGAGCGGTAAATGTTTGGGGGGCGACGCAAATGCTGGTATACACGTACCCTCCATCGCCAACCGCGGCCAAAATTATTGCCGTGCGTCACCAGGCGTCACCCATCAGGCCACGCGTGAGGCAGCGCATGTCGGGCCGTGAGGAGTTTGGGTTGGTTTCGCATCTTGTTGCAAGTAGTACGGAATAGCAGAGGGTAAAAGCGGCCTCCGATGATGTACCAACGACGTGCAGAAGATCCCTGTCGTGCAAACTTGCCTACAGCAGTAGGACATCGTGTCTCTGTCTCTCCTGCTCTCCTCCTGCTCTCGGACGGAAATGCGGCGAGTTGTGCGACGGTTCGGACCGTGGAATCTCGGAATCTCGGAAGCGATCTTCTGATCTCCTTTGCGTCCTATGAAACGACGAGAGAGCTCGAGCGGACGTACTCATATACATCCCTGAGCACGTGCGCGCACACCTGCTTAGGGGTGTCCGTAACAAATGCCGAAGGAAGGGTACGACTCTCTTTGAGCTGTAAAAAGCGTTGACGGGCGACATAACATACGACATGATGATCACGCTTTTTTTGAGCCCCGTCCGTGGCCTGTAAACTCGAAGATTTCCTCCCGTAGACTATTAGTCTCCGTCGACTTCGTCTTTCAAACATCGTCAACACCACTGCTTTGAAATACTTTCTTCAATACTTTCTGCATCGGTACATGTTTGTTATCCTGTGGCGATGGTTCATAGGATCCCATGCTACCCGATTGCACGCCCACAACTATTGTGACTGCTACACTGCTTGCGTAAGTTATAGTTAGTCCAAGCAAGGTGCAGCAGAAAAACAGATGCGTTCATGTACATGGTCGACCTTTGTCTCTCTTACTCCTTACAATTCAAAGGCAATTAATTTAACCTTGAACGAGGGTTGTCGACTTGTTGTGGGTGGCGGTTATGCTGATGTACGAGCAAATTTCGAGATACTGCCATATTCGACTGCTGTGCATAGATGTGCATAGACTGCACGACATGTACCACGGGCAGCCTTCGACGTTGATATCCCTTGATTTTGTTGACCGCATTCGAGGATCGACTCCTACATGGCAATTCCTTCTACATTGTATGTAGTGCTAGACTATATGCCTGTTACGATTACGTTCGTAGGAGCTGCAAGTTTGCTCTTCAGTACCTCTACAGAGACTTCCATTGGCCGGGAACTGACCAATGGGCATACAACACAGGTTCTCGGCGCAAGAAGAATTAATTCCAGCAACAACAGCATCGGGAACCTCGACCGCGTCAGCATTGACATCTTGCATAATAATACCCGTGCACCACCAGATACCGTACTTAACCATCAGACGAGCGGCCTGCCGGCAGGCCAACACACCTTCCAAGCTCTAGCTGCTAGCTAGATCACTACCTCGTGGTAACGTAAAACTTGCTTGAGCTCAGCCGAACCACATGCATGCGTAGCATGCACTTGCAGGAACAAGCGGGCCAGCCTGTGCACGAGTACATGCGTGACACG